GTGCGATTGTGTGTAGGGGAGGGTGTGGTTTTGTGGTTTGTAGGGGAGGATTTGTGGGTATGGTGGGGTGGGCATGGGAACCCCCCCTGAGCTCCCAGTACTCCTCTCCCCCCCTGCAAAAGCCCAGAGCCCATGTGCCCTGCAGTGCCTCCCTGCTGCTGGCAACAGTGTGCAGCCCCAGCCCTGTCCTGTGCCCACTCCGGACTCACCCCAGTGGGAGCAGATCAGCCAGAACCCATGGGCACAGCCCTGACTCCAGCCTGCCCCATACATGCTCTGCACCGCCTGCCGATGGCGTGGTGGCTTTCTAGGTAGCCCAGGCAGTGGCAGCTTGTCCTAGCCCCGTGGTACTGGTGGGGACCCAAACACACAGCCCTGACCTGGTCTGCCTCGCACCTGCTCCAGACTCGCCTGCACTGAGCAGCGGTGGCAGCTGGGCAGAAACAATTACTCAGCGTGGGTGGAAAAGCGGCCCCTTCCTTTTGCCGCTGTTGGGTCCTTCCTCCTGCAACTGCACTGTGTCTCTGCTGCCATCACTGCTGCCTTCAGGTTGCCCAGTGGGGCAGCGGTGGTAGTGCAGAGCAGCTGCAGGGCAGTCCAGTGTGGGCTTTTGGCAGCTGCAGCAGGAAGAGCCTGGCAGCGATGAGGGGGTGGCCACTTTTCCTTGATGCTGAGCAACAGTTTCTGTCCAGCTGCTGCTGCTGCTCAGCACAGGTGATTCCAGAGCAGGTGTGGGGTGGGCTGGGTTGGGGCTGTGCGCTTGGGTCCCCACTGGTTCCATGGGGCTGGGACCACAGGTGGAGGCAACTGGAAGGAGCTGCTGCTGCCTGTGCTGCTTAGAAAGGTAATCCAGCTGCAGAGCCACCCCAACCCCACTGCATGCCTAGGGGGTGGCAGGACATGCCATGGCTGGACAGTGCCTGGACCAGGCAGGGATGTGTTTTGCCCGCTCCTGCACTAGACAATATTGTGCATTGTAGTGAGTTGGCAGTGGTTATACTATATTCAGTATTTTGAAATCGGGGTTGGTCTTCAAAATAAGAAGCATCAGTCCTTTTTATCGTGCCTTTGTATTTTCTGCTTGAAATTTCATACTGTGGCATGGTTCCAGTTCTTTATGAGTTTTCTATTTATCAGACTGGAATTTAACATTTATAATAATAGTTCAAACATTTATATGAGGTAATATAAAAATATGAAGGGTGAAAATACAGTGCCTTACCATCCCTAAATTAAAGCCGGCTGTAGTTTAAAAAGAGTCTAAAGTTTATATGAAAGAATATTAGGACTATGAAGCAAAGAAGTATGGAATTGTATATACTGGTTGTGTGAATAAAAACCGTTATAATGATGACAAGAGATCTGCAAGTGTTACTTTAGGGTATTGAACATAGCTGTTTTGAGGTTTTTTTTTTGTTTTTTTTTTTGATTTGTGGGGGGTACATCTGGAAATTTTGTATCTGCCTCAAGCTATGGATTTAGTTTCTATTTTAGGTGCCCTTTGAACTGACAAATTCTCATTTTTAATATTTAATATTAAAGCAGGTTTATAGACCCATAGACTGTGAGGATTGGAAGGGACCTCAAGAGGTCATCCTATCCCCTGCTCAAAGCAGGACCAGCTCCACCTATATCATTCCAGCTAAGGCTTTGTCTAGCCAGGTCTTAAATACCTCCAAGGATGGAGAGTCCACCACCTCTCTGGGTAACCTGTTCCAGCATTTTACTACCTCCCTAGTGAGAAAATTCTTCCTAATATCTAACCGAAACTTCCCTTGCTGCAACTTGAGACTATTGCTCCTTGTTCAGTCATCTGTCACCACTGAGAATGGTATAGCTCCATCCACCTTTCAGGTAGCTGAAGGCTATTAAATTCACCCTTAGTTGTCTTCTCCAGACTAAGTAAGCCCTGTTCCATCAGCCTCTCCAAGTCCTGTGCTGCAGCCCCCTAACCATTTTTGTTGCCCTCCCTGGACTCTTTCCCACTTTGTTCACATCATTTCTGTATTGTTATAGTATGAGATATATTAATTATGGTTAACTATAGGTTGTTAGTTTTATTAGCATTATGAGCATTGCTTCTCTGAGGCATGAATCTGTAGTTCTCTGATTTTGGACAGATTTGAAGTAGTAGTCATAATGAGAGCAAATCTCAGTTGGGGGAGCTTCATTAGTTTTCAGCAAGTACTTTTTATAATGGCTTAAAGTAAGTTGAATAATTTATCACAGAGTCTTAGAAGAAAATTTTAACCATCTGTTGGGTCTTATTTTTTATTCACGTTGACCCAGCTGATCTGATGTATAGTTTTAGAAATTCAGTCATGGTTGTATTTTTTCCCTTCCTCCCTCCCCACTTATTTTCTTGTGTTCAGGTGTTTGTTCTGAAATTTCATACCATAGCACGGTACCAGCTTTCTGTTATTTTTAAGAAGTGCAAGCCTCAGTCTGAACTTGGTGCAGCTGAAGCTGCTTTACCTGGAGTACCAGCTGCAGCAAACGCAGCTTCCGTTCCTGTCCCATCTCCTGCCCCGGCCACTCCTGTGGCCCCAGCACCAGTACCTGTGTTTGAGAAGCAAGGAGAGAAAGAGAAAGAAGATAAGCAGACATTTCAGGTCACGGACTGTCGAAGCTTGGTAAAAACTCTGGTCTGTGGTGTCAAGACAATTACGTGGGGCATAACGTCGTGTAAAGCACCTGGCGGTAATACAGCATTAATTACATCTATATTTAGTTTTACATTTGCTTATCTAATAAAGGTGAAAGTTCCTTATTCTACTCTGCTTTTTTTTTTTTTTTTTTTTTTTTATAGAAGCACAGTTCATCCCCAACAAACAATTGCAGCCTAAGGAGACACAGATCTATATAAAACTTGTAAAATATGCAATGCAAGCTTTGGATATTTATCAGGTCTGTAGCATGACTAGGGCAACATCATTATGGTGCTTCTGTGTGTGTAAGTTCTGTGCACTGTATATTCACTGGAATATTCTTTCGATCCATTAAAAAAAAAAATCCTGCAGGCTTTTGTATTGCAGGCAACATTTTGGTGGAATTTCAATTTGTATCTACTCAGGAATTTCATGAACAGAAATGCTTACAAAGTGCTTTAGGGTTTGCAAGAATCAAATCTAGTATATAAACAAACAGTCTAGAGCCCAGTGACCTAACTAGGATGGGGCAAATAGGGCAGTTGCCCCAGGTGCTGACTTTGGGGGAGGAGGAGGTGCAGCTGCTGCTGAAAGCCTTGCCATCACAATCACAGCAGCAACCAGAAGTCACTGGGGCTGTCCCTGTGCCCTGGGCACATGGGTGCATCCCTTTGCTGCTGGTGTTAGCTTGTCTTGTTCATGAAGGCTAGTGCTTAAAAATCTATAAATCTAAATAAAGAGTGTTACTTACTTAGTGCATTTTCTTTTCTGATTTAGGTACAAATAGCGGGAAATGGTCAGACATATATCCGAGTTGCAAATTGTCAGACAGTCAGGATGAAAGAAGAAAAAGAAGTCTTGGAACATTTTGCTGGTGTTTTCACAATGATGAATCCTTTAACTTTTAAAGAGATCTTTCAAACTACTGTTCCGTATATGGTGGAAAGAATTTCAAAAAACTATGCTCTTCAGGTATTATGGTTTAATTTTACAACAGTGAGACATGCATTTTACTGAACTCTGGAGGATAACTTGTTAAAAAAAAAGTTCCTAACATTTGAAATTCACTTTCAAAGTATTTCTTCACTTGGCAAGGTCTGTAACAGTCTATAAAAGAAAAGTTGTGAGAAGGTAGATTTTTTTTTTTTTTTTATTCTACTATAATTGCTATCAAGAGAGAAACCTTATTTAAGCAATTCATCTTAATGCTGGAAGTATTAATGGAGTGTATTCAATAAAAATGGTAGATTTTGATTTGTCCAGAATACCATTAACTAGGTTTTATTTATTACTGTTTGGATATAAATTTTTCTAAACTTTACTATGATTTTTTTTAAAACTATTTTAAAGAAATATTAAAGTTACACCAAACTAAATACTTGATTTATAGGAAAGTTATATGATTTCTTTTTTTTACCTTTTTAAAGATGACCTAAAATGAGTTGCTGATAGTTGAAGAGAAGTGATTTATTTATTTATTTATTTATTTTCAAATTCAGTTATTCTTATGTTCCTTTCATAGCTTAATTGTAATTCTGTCTTCTGTTTCTTTTGACAGATTGTTGCCAATTCCTTTTTGGCAAACCCTACCACTTCTGCCCTCTTTGCTACAATTCTGGTGGAGTATCTTTTAGATCGGCTGCCAGAAATGGGCTCTAATGTGGAGTTGTCCAATCTTTATCTTAAGCTGCTCAAACTAGTTTTTGGCTCTGTTTCACTGTTTGCAGCTGAAAATGAACAAATGCTAAAGGTAAAGTTCGTTTTGCCTAAGAGAGACTACTCAAATTCATGTGCAGTGCATTTTGTCAATTTTGGGGGGGGGGAAATATTGTGCTCCATGACCATTTTAACATTTCAAAAGTGATATTTTAAAAAAGCTGTATTAATATTATGGGTTTACCATGCAAAAAGCAGATAGAATAGCCTACTTATAAGAAACATTTTTCATGACTGACCGCCTAGTACTTGGAACTGTGAAGTGAAGTGGAAAATTCTAAATCTGAATGATTGAGTGTATAGGTGTCCTGCTTTGGATTCCATAATGTTGAGTGACTTTCTTGTCAGGTGCCGTGTATCTTAATGCATTTTTTTCCCTTTTATTGCTGTAGCCACTGAGCATGTCTCTAACAAGTTTGACTCACTTTTCACCCTTTGACACTAAAGCTTCACTAGTGCTTTTTCATGCTTATTTGTATCTATCATTATGATATAAATTCAGTGAGAGGGCAAGTTAATCAGAAACCTGAATTAGTGTGTGAACCCATTTGAAAAAAAAGTCTATTCTTCCAATAACAAGGTATTGTTTAATCGTTAAAATATTTTTTTAGAAATGTGGGGTGCTGTGTTTTAAAGCACAGAAGGAAAGTCTCTTCTTGAATGTAGTGGTATCTTCTGGATGTATAGGCAAAAGGAGACAGGCAGTTTTATAATGAAGTGCTATTCATTCGTCCTTTCTCTCTCTCAGTCCCTGTCTCCATGAAGGAATGGAAATCCAACATCAACAAATCTTATATATTGGTAGATACTTAATTTGGATGGGGGATTCACTATAGAAGGGTTAGTTCAATATCTGTGGGGTGATGTGAGATTCCCAATGAACTACTAATTTAATCTCTCTTTTTTTTTTTGGACATATTATATGTAGTCTGTTTAAAAAAAAATCCTCTTCTGCTATAAATATCTAAGATTGTTATATACTGCAGATCCAGTTTAAATGGTGTGATTTACTGTCTTCAAAGTTCCAAGCTTCCATTATATTTTTTTGTTTCAGCAGTTGATGATGTGGCCTTGAGCAGACAATTTTAGTTGAAAGATTAAAGCTATTCACAGCAATTGTGTAGCCATGTACAGGGGATTTCAGATGTTCATAAAACCTTAATTATTTTGATGTTCATTCCTGGGATGAGAGAATCCTGGTATTTGCTATCCATTCTTAATAGTTCACACAAGCTGCTAATGTCCTGTGCTCTTTGAAATCTGTTACCAGGATCTTTCATAGTTTCATAATTGTTAGGAGTTAGAAGAGGCCTTACAGATCATTGGGTCCAGCCCCCCTGCACTTGGGCAGGAAAGACTGCTGGGGTCAGGTGACCCCAGCAAGATGGGCATCAAGATGCTTTTTGAAGATTGCCAGGGTGGGTGTCTGTACCCCCTCTGGGGGGAACCTGTTCCAAACCCTCATCACTTGACTTGTAAAGAAGTTTTTTCCATATGTCTAGTCTGAAGTGATCATCAATCAGTTTGTGCCCATTATTTCTTGTCATCCTGTGGGGGACCTTGGTGAATAGATGCTCCCCGAGGCCCTGACGCATGCCCCTTAATCTTCCAATTGTGACTTTTTTCCCCTTCAAAAAAAAAAAAAAAAAGGGGGGGGTGCTCTTACCAAAAGTGAATTTTAGTGCTTCTGAAGGAATTACTTGCTCTCGCTGCTGAGTGCTGCACAAATCTCCTCTCCTTGTTTACCTCCAATAGCTCTGCTGGTCTACCCTTGGGCTCTGTTCTTCAGTCTGGCAGTTGTCTAACTTCAGGTTGTGTTTTTTTTAATAGAGCCTAGAATAAGTGAACAGGCTTCCTCCTGCAATTTGAGTCTTTCGTCTCCATAATCAAGAATGATAAATTTATTAGGGCTCTCCTTCTTGTCCTATAATGATGATAGTGGTATTTTAATTTAGTGTATGAATGTTGTTCAGCTATATCAGTTATAACTGAGGCATGTTACGAACTCTCAAGTTAAAAGGGAAATAACTGTACCATACTGAACTTCTAACAGTTGTGGTGAGAGATGGATATTTTACTAATCTTGATGCTTTACCCTTTGTAGCCCCATCTGCACAAGATAGTGAACAGCTCTATGGAACTTGCACAGACTGCCAAGGAGCCCTACAATTATTTCCTGTTACTTAGAGCATTGTTCAGGTCCATTGGAGGAGGCAGTCATGATCTCTTGTATCAAGAATTCTTGCCACTGTTACCAAACCTATTGCAAGGTTAGAACAAATACCTGTTTTACTCTTTTTATTTTTTTGGGGATAGCTGATGATATAATGCTTTTAGAGTGGTAAAATATTAAGCCTGGCAAATAGCTGCCAGGTTTTGATCCTTAAGTGTATTTCAATTTAAAAAATATGAATATAATTTACTTCCTTTTTACTTTTTAGTTGCCATGGTCTCCTTCTGCCTATTTCACGGTTCTGTTCTTTGTGCTTTTTGGGTTCCCAGTGTGAGTCATGGGGTGTGTCTACACGTGCAGTTTACTGTGCAGTAGCCCATTTTACCATGCATTAAAGTGTCACATCAAAAACCGTGCTAATACACTGTGTAGTAAAAATAGGCTACTGTACATTAAGCGTCACTAAAAAAATGTGTGTTTTCACTACTGCGTGGTACTGCAGAGTAGCAGGGCAGCCTAATGCTCATTTATTTAGTACCTCACATTAGAAGTACTAAATTTAATGTGCACTAGCAAAAGCGCGTTAATGAATGTTGAGACCATGCCCGTGGTGGGCTTCCTCCTTACCTGGAAGAACGACTTAGAAGTAAGAGAGTGATGGAAGATACAGTGCAGCAAGACCTATGGCAATGTGGAGAGGGAGAGGGTAGAGAGAGTATAGCAGAAAGGAACTGTTTTTTCTGAAATTTAAAAAAGTAATAGTGACCGTTTTCTCAAGAGGAAATTTAATTTAACAAAATCGGCTTGGCTAAAAGGGCATGAATGACTGAAATGCTTATCAACCAGAAGTACTAATGCTGTGCAGAGAACCAGAGAGAATTACTGAGATTTAGGGAAGGTTAATTGCAACAAATACAAAAAGAAAACATGTTCTCCATCTTTAGCTGTGGCATTTGGCTTCCTTTTTAGCTGATAATATATAAGTAAACCCACGTGTGTGGCACTGGGAAAAGATATATCCAGAATTACTAGTTGAACTTAAGGAAAATATGAATTAAATGCCAGAACAAAATGAATTGTGGGGGGAGGGGTGGTTTTTTTTTAATTTTTTTTTTATATAATTGTATTTGTTACTGACTCTTTAAGTTCTTCAAAAAATGTTGGTGTACTTTTTAGTTTCTTTTTATTGGAGCCCAGATGTTTGTTTAAGCCAGATCAGATTAGTATGTATTTTTAATTTTACTGGATGTACAACTGTTGGGTGATATTCTCCTGTTCCAAGCCTGTACCCCAAGTGATTTGAAGATCACAATTAGATTACACCAGCGCATTGAAAGGCTGTCTCGTTGTGTTTAAATATTTATTACTTGTTTGTATAATTTTTACAAATGCAAACACATAGGAGTAATAGACTTGTTAAGTGACAATAAGCAATTGCAGAAAAGCTAGCTTTAACAAATGGAGTCATGTAAATGGTGACCTTAAGACAATAGGAACTTTAAGAAGTCACAGAATCATAGAAAACAGTACTGAATCTGTTTTGATAATTTGTTGTTGTTGAAATTCTCTCTCTCTCAAATTATATACCCTTTTAAACCTTTTCAGGACTGAATATGTTACAAAGTGGCCTCCACAAACAACACATGAAAGATCTGTTTGTAGAGCTCTGTCTCACTGTACCAGTTCGACTGAGTTCCCTCCTCCCTTACCTGCCAATGTTGATGGATCCCCTAGTGTCTGCTCTAAATGGATCCCAGACCCTAGTTAGCCAAGGTTTGAGAACTCTGGAACTGTGTGTGGACAACTTGCAGCCTGACTTCCTGTATGATCATATTCAGCCAGTGCGAGCAGAGCTGATGCAGGTAAGTGTGCCATTTCTGCCAAGACCACTAGAGGTCATACATTACTTAAATATCACTGGTAGTTGTATCACCATCACAGCTACGTCATCACTCTTTTTACTTTACCAACTTCATGATTAGAATAAACCTAGACACAGTTTCAAATCAAATGCATTTCTCTTCAGTTCCTGATCAAAGACATTGCCCACAAAACTCCTTGCTCACAAATATTGGTGCCTTTTTGAAGTTTAGGACTGAAGACTCGGAGAGGTCTGTGATACACCTATGAAAAAGGTTGCCTCTTTTTGTTAATTGAATATGCCAGGAGTTCATGTGTTAGTTTAACACTCCAACGAGGAAAAAAGATGATTGTTATAAAAATAACTAGTTTTTTTTTTTTTACATTATGGTCTCAATTTATATCATCCTAAGCTGGAAAGGAAATTGGGGGACATTTAGTTTAACCCTGATGTCTTGAGGGGGCTATTTGGGATACAGGTGTGCATGTTCGGGTATTTCATATCTTTTTAGATGGCAGGTTAGTGTGAACACTTTAAATTTTGTTTGCTTCTTTGACGCCTGGGCATTTTTTTTCGCAATAGAAAAATCCTGAATATATTTTCTGCTCCTAACACACTACTTACTTTTTAAGACTAGCATGTATTTAGTCTTATTTAGTGGCACACCAAACTAGATTTATTTCAAGCTTAACTGGTTCTTAATTTCATACGTCATGCTGCCTTTCTAATGTTAGCCATATATTAAATTGGTAACGTTAGACTGACATAGCCATGATGGTCTAGGGGTTTGACAGCTGCACACAGGTGTTTAAAAAACAAAACAAACAAAAAACCCCCTCAACACAAAAATGGCACTTCAAACTTGGCCTGCTCCTGTGTCGAGCCCAGCATGTGCCCAGGAGAAGCAGCATGTTTGTTCGACCAGCCTCTACCACATCTGTAAAGACTGGGTGCTTCAGTAGGGCTTTTTTGCTGCTTTCCTCTAATAGCTGATTCAAGGTACTGCCACAAAAAATAGTTTCCTCTCCTGTATATTAAGTTGTACTTGAATGCTGTAAAATTTCTGTGACTTGTCATGTAAAGCTAATGTAACTTCTTTTTACAGGTACAAAATTAACTGCTTAAGTACTCTTTATCAAGCCAGTTCATTATGAAAATACATATTTTATTTTATTTTTTTAAAATTTTAAATGAAATCCACATAGCAAATTCTTTTGCTTGTTTGGGGCAGAGACTTAAGTTTTGGGGTTTTTTGTTTTTTTTTTTTTTCCATATAAGAAACTTCCCCTGGAAGTTATATGGTGGCAAATAAGAGAATAAATAGCTATGAGAGAAGAATATTGAAGTTTTACTTTTTTAGTAACATTTTGAAGCAACACATCTCCTAACGTGTTAAACATTTAAATTTACTTCCAGGCTTTATGGAGGACATTACGCAATCCTGCAGACAGCATTTCTCATGTGGCTTATCGTGTGCTTGGTAAATTTGGAGGAAGCAATAGGAAAATGTTAAAGGAATCTCAGAAATTGCAATATGTAGTTACAGAAATTCAAGGACCTAGTATTACCATAGAGTTTTCAGACTGTAAAGCATCTATTCAGCTTCCAATGGAAAAGGTAAGATTTGATCTCTTTTCCATCCGTCTGCTAAACTAATTTCTTAAATTTTCCTTAAATAAAACTTTTGAAAAGTTAATGTTTAATCTAAACTAATCTTATAACCTGCATATTCCTTCAGTTTAATAGATGAGTTCTTGGGTTAAAAAAAATGATTAGTAGGATTTCTGCTGCATTCATGAAACAGTTGGAGAACGATGAAAAGTTTCCTGTGTATTCTACTATTTTATTTGGTGAAGAAGCTCATACTTAATCTGTTTACCAGTTCTTCAGTAGGACATGGCCATTTGAATGGCATTGTGATACACTTTGATTTCCATTGACTTTTGATGCATAAAATTACTAAAACAAATACAGAACTTTTGTTTGAAAAGTGGCTCTCAGAGGGGAGTGGTGTTTTAATGGCCAAAGAATCATTGGAGCACCTTAGAGATGGGGCTAAACAAACTTTTGTAGTCTGGTGTTTTTGTGCTGCTTGTACCATTATTTTTGTATTCAAAGTTAGTTCAGGCTTTCTAATGTTTCCCACCCCCCAACTTTTCCATTTTCCCTCTCATTTTAAACACTGTCCAATCTCCCAGAGTAGCTTAGAAAAGCAAACAAATGTTGGCTGAAGTCTGTGCTAGGTTATGAGGATAAGAACGTACACAAGTGGGTGCTCTTTTACTGTGTCTGCTTTTTATAACGGTTCCCTCCATTTTTTTGTTGTGTGATCATATTAGATCAAATCTCTTTGATCTTGGGGAACACTATAATTTCTCAGTGTTTCAGTTTGCTTCCATTGTTAGAATGGGTATATTACTTACTGTATTTGTATCAATCTCTCTTTTTTTTCAAAGTTACTTCAAGCAGCTTCATCTAAGAAGGTCATAGTATTTAGTATTGCAAGCATTCAGGCTTCTGGAGTCGAAAGAAACTAATATCCAATATGCTTTAGCTTCTGAGAATTAAGCTGCATTCAGCAGCTAGCATGAAACCTCTGTAGAGTCTGATATACCCTTTGTTTCAGTTTTAAAACTATGTATTTCTGAAATACAGGGAACTGTTCTATTAACTGGCAACTCACTATTATCACTTTGACTCTGAAGAGGTAAAAAGATTTTAAAGTATCTTGGAAAAAATTCCCTATAGTAAGCAGATGCAACTGAATACAGACAAGAAGAATCAGTAAGGGGTGCTTGTTTTTACACGGCCACTTTCCATAGTGAAATGTATTAATGTAATTATCTAAACGTTTACAAATATCACAAATAGAGACTTATGTATCACCTGTTCAATAACATACAAATTTAGGTTCCTAAGTTCTTTCAGGCATCGTTGCTGTCTCTCTCTTAATTACATGGAACAATAGTCAACTTCCTAGTTTCGATCAGCAGCAGTATTGTTTATGGCATGCTTCATGGGAGTTAAAAAAAAAAAAAAAAAAAAAAAAA